TGGTGAGCTATATGTTACTGGGAAATCCTAATTGCATTATACAACCTACACACAACATCATCAAAGTTGGATTTGCTCTGGAAGTGCTGAAGTTGATTATAAGTAGTGGTAGAATCAATCAGATAGGCTACTGCGATGATCGTCCTCTACCGTATGAGTGGCCTTTATGGTTTATGTTAGCTTATCCCCCCGAAGAGTATCTCTGAGCACGCAGATGACAATCTCCCTCGATTACTATCAGCGTGTTTCAAGGACGCCCAGGTTCCCTGCAATGTGCCAGATGCTGTTGATGATGATGAAGCTCAGCAGATGGTAGGGCTATAACGAACTCGAGACTGGGGTATTAGGTTTTCTTGATGAAGAGGTGGAGCTCGCTTAGTCCTCGTCTACTGATCGGATCAATGGATTCGATATATTTTCCTTGGTAGAAAATTTTGCCGTAAAAAGTTTTCGATTTATGCGGGAATTTCGGCATATAGAGGAGTCGTTTGATATATTTGGTGGCCTCCTACGCGTAGTAGTTAAGTCAGTATAATTCTGCACGCATGCACAACTCGAAAGTGTCTGTTGTAGTTTGCTCGCTCCGCGATGATTTCGTTGTATTATCAGGTTTGGGACAAACTAATAGTAAATGTCGCTATTAACCCGGTGACTGCCATTTTTGGGGTTCTGAACGGCGAAATTTTGGATAATTCTCAACTGTAAGTGCTTTTGTTGAGGGAATTTCGGTAATTATTTTTGATGGTAGATTCTCCTTGGCATCTGCGGCACATGAGGCCTAAAATGTTCACCCGAATCAACACAATGCACTAGCTCTAACGTTAGTTCCAGGCTGAGAGATGTTAGGCTTGGACGTTCTCATTAGCTGAGCTCAGGAGTTTACATATGAATTCGGGTAGAAGTGTAATACCAAAACCAATAAGAATTTCCTTAAAAATTTCACATTGTCATAAACACATCCTAATATTTTCCAGCCTCGAATTTGAATATTTATTCCTCATTTTCTATTCTTTCAGGCACTAGACGAATGCTCTCCAATCAACATTCATAAACTCATCGGTTGGCTCGGCAAACCGGCTGTTTACATTTTCTACTGTGATCGCGCTGGTGAGCGAAATCAGATTTTGTCGAAATTTCACCAAAATTTTTCATGTTCTTACATTGATGCGTTTCATGAGGTTGGCGTGTTTTCCTCGAGTGCCGTGGAATAAAGCGAAATTTTCATACTCGCCAGTTGTAGTCGAGATGAACAGCCACGGTATAGGGTTGTCTTATGCAGTGTGGGAGGAAATATGCACATGGTCAACTACATGTGTTGGGAAAAATTATGCCTGAATTTGCATATAAAATTTTATAAAAGCGAACATATATTCCTCCAACACTGAGATTTTTGAATTTCGAAATGAATTCACTGAAATATGCATATGGTAAACTACATGTGTTGGTGATGACAATATGAAAATTGTGTATTACACTTCTACCCGAATTTATATGTAAATTCCTGAGCTTAGCTGATGAGGAAGGCGAAGATATATTCCTACTCCGTTGTTTGTTGTCAGGGTCGAAGCTCTCGTGCCAAATACTCACAGCGTGTTTGACGGCACCATTGAAAACAGCAGTGGAGAATTCGAGTGAATTCAGACAGTTGAATTCTGTATTTACCAGTATTATGAATTCCATAGCGTGGAGCTCCCTTCCTGCTGGTGGTTTGCACAAATTTCAAAATTTTTCGGGTAATTTTTTTTGTATTTTTTTCAGATGCATATGAGATTTTATTTCGAAAAGATGTCGCTCTGGCTTCACTGTTTCGCAACTATTTGTTGGCTCAAAACCTTTTCTGTGAGTATTCGCCTTAGAGGGTTTTTGATATGGAGAAACGGAAATTGTGTTTTTCGTATTGATCGTTGGTTCGATCCCCAGGACGGACATTTTTCGAGTATTTTTGCTCAAAAAAAATACAGGATATAGAAAAAATATAATGGAGTTTCACATGGAGTATTTCGACGCCACTTCACGTAAAACGTGTGAAATATGAGATATGTTTTTCACTAAAGTTTCTCACATCACCGTGGGAATTTCATGGTGTATAAAGAAAATGCGCGCGTTTTCTCTGCGTTAGTTGGTTTAACGATTTCCCTACGACTACACCTGTTGAGCTCTCGAAACACATACCATTCGGAAGAGTGCAGCTCACGCATTCTGCGAAAAATACTAAGTTGCTTTTGAGGAAAATCTGTATTGAAAATTTATATGATATTTTCACGATTTTTTTTTGCGATATACTGGAGTTCCTTGACCCTAGTGATATGAAACACACTACTAAAAATATATTTCCCGACTACTGCATATCACCGCGAATATCGCCTTTTTTTCACTAACACACCATTTCACGCAAAACGAGTTGTGAAAAGCGCGATATGAAGTGATGAATCGAAAACACTTGGTGAACTACACCGAACAAATCACCCCGTATCACATGAAAAACACATTGCGCGTTATTCATTCCTCACATGCGTTTTTCGCGAGTAAGTAAAATGTGAAATTTGTTTTCCATATCACGGGTGAAACTCCGGTTCGCAAAAGAAGTAGCATTTTCAAAATGCCAGACGACTGCCAGTTTGTCCTCAGCTCTGGTCGGTCTAACGAGCGTATCAATGCCCGAGTTGCCGGACTGTAGTCATCACTCGTTATGGGAAACGTGGGAACTCGTGATGGAAGCCTCAGTACTGCGTGTAGTGCAAGACGAACGAAATAGTCTGCTGATTTCACAGGTAGGGCGCGCGAGATTTAATCGAATCCGTTCTTGATTCGATGAATTATCGGCAGATACCGGGAACTGATCCTGTGAGAGAGTTCTTTAGAGACCAGCTGAGAGCGTTTAGTGTTTGGTTGCGGAGAAAACACAATTCAGGTGAGAATACGCACATGGTCAACTACATGTGTTGGTGATGACGATATGAAAATTCTTATTGGTTTTTGCACACGAATTTGAGGAATGAGTGAAGCGAAGACTCCTCCAACACTGAGGTTCTGAGTTCCGAAATTAGTTTGCTGGAAAGTATAGGAGAAAATGATGCGCATGGTCAACTACATGTGTTGGTGATGACAATATTAAAATTATTGTTGGGTTTTGTAATACACTTCTACCCGAGCTCGTATGTAAACTTTTGAACTGAGCTGATGAGAAAAGCGAAGATATATTCCTACTCCAACACTTCTGTCCGAATTAGCGAAGCAAACTTCTGAGCTCAGCTGAGGGAAGGACTTACTGATCATTAGTGAGTATTTCATCAGTATTTTGTTTGGTTTTCATGAGTGATACTCTCAGGTGTTACTGCGCCGCCGGTTGTGATGCCGTCGAATCCAACTAGAGTGGCGGTGGTTGGTGGAGGAGCGATGGGGACCTTCTTCGCTCAAGCGTTGTCTAAAAAAGTGACACTCCTAGGGATCGAACTCGTGCGGAAAATGTGTCTGTAGGTTCCCGATGTTGTGCTCATGACGAGTCCCCACTCACATGCAGCGGCGATGATGATGAACTCGGGTTTGGATTGTGTGGACAATGAGGGCAGGATGTTGCCAGCTCTGGAGGGAACACAACCGAACAGTGTGGGATTCCGAGTTGTTCATAATGTAAGTCCAGGGGCCCATGCAGCGTTGAGGGATAGGGTATGATAAAAATGGAAAGGAAATGTTACTAACGTGATGACATTTATATATATGGGAAATTGGAAAATTCAAAATGAGTTTCTTCCGGGAACATTATAGGTTCCAGGATGATCACTTCCGTATGAGTAGAGATTATGTATCACAGCAGGATTACTCAATTTCAGGCTGAAGATTGCCTAAGTGCATTCGGTGGTACTACACCGGAGCTTGTGGTGGTAGCCTCAAAGGCGTGGCAGTTGGAAGATCCAGATGTCGTTAAGAAACATCTTTCTGGTTTGCTCAGTGATGGAGCGCCTGTGCTTAGTGTAAGGTTGCCTTTATTAGGCCGACTGAATGAAGTAGTTTTAGATCCAAAACGGCATTGGAGCTGTTGATGCGTTATCGGTCGTGAGCAAAAATATCTTCCAGGTGAGTGACGTATCTTACCGTTTCAAAGTGAGAGGCAAAGATACTCATAATCGATCAATTCGCCCAGGAAGATATCGGATGGTCATTGAACTTCGGATATTTGGGTTTGTTGTTTTTCAGCTTTTATTTCTATACGTGTGTTTCAGGCGGTTACCAACATTGGTTGCAACCCACCCCGGCCTGGCGTGTTGGAGGTCAACGTCTTACCTGGCCTTTATGGTTTATGTTAGCTTATCCCCCCGAAGAGTATCTCTGAGCACGCAGATGACAATCTCCCTCGATTACTATCAGCGTGTTTCAAGGACGCCCAGGTTCCCTGCAATGTGCCAGATGCTGTTGATGATGATGAAGCTCAGCAGATGGTAGGGCTATAACGACCTCGAGACTGGGGTATTAGGTTTTCTTGATGAAGAGGTGGAGCTCGCTTAGTCCTCGTCTACTGATCGGATCAATGGATTTGATATATTTTCCTTGGTAGAAAATTTTGCCGTAAACAGTTTTCGATTTCTGCGGGAATTTCGGCATATAGAGGAGTCGTTTGATATATTTGGTGGCCTCCTACGCTTAGTAGTTAAGTCAGTATAATTCTGCACGCATGCACAACTCGAAAGTGTCTGTTGTAGTTTGCTCGCTCCGCAATGATTTCGTTGTATTATCAGGTTTGGGACAAACTAATAGTAAATGTCGCTACTAACCCGGTGACTGCCATTTTTGGGGTTCTGAACGGCGAAATTTTGGACAATTCTCAACTGTAAGTGCTTTTGTTGAGGGAATTTCGGTAAGTATTTTTGATGGTAGATTTTCCGTAGCATCTGCGGCACATGAGGCCTATAATGTTCACCCGAATCAACACAATGCACTAGGCTAGTGCATTGTGTTGATTCGGGTGCCACTAGCTCTAACGTTAGTTCCATGCTAAGAGATGTTAGACTTGGACGCCTTACTGAGATCAATATTATCAATGGTCAAGTTGTAAGTGCCTTTTCTGCTGGGATCCCTCGTCGTTTAGTGGTGGAATAGTCGAATATGTAGTGAGTGTGCGGTTGGTTTATAAAATAAACCATCCTCTTCTCCGTCATAAACCGTCTTCTCCTCTGTATCCTCCTCCTACACATTAGCCAATATAAATTACCACTCCTTTTGCATCATCATCACCTCCCTCATCATCACTTACCCTTCCACTAACCCCCCTCAACCCGCAAACCTTCCTCAACACCACGACCACCTCTCCTACTACCCTCCTATCTGTTCCATTTTCCCTTCACACCTACACACCCCTTATCAATGTGCCATACACAGGATACCATAGCCAACTGAGGGGCCGTAGATCAACAATATCGGCTCATCTCTCTCCCGAGATCCTCTCATCACCCTAGATACGGGAATTTCTAATGAGTGTGGCTGCTATCAGTGTAGGAATATATATGTTCACTCTCCTCCGCTCAACTTCACAGTATTATAACTAGTCATTACAGGTTTACTCCCGAATAAAATTAACAAAAACCGACAACAATCTCTTCAGGTTCTTATTAGTGTGACAACATATGTGATTGACCATGTTCACATTCTCCCACACTCCACAGCAGCCTTCTGAAAACCACACCCCCAAAGGTTGGGTACCTCAGCTGGTAAATATCGATTTCATACTTATTCACAACCGCTAAGTGTATGCTGCTCTTCTCAGATCTCCTCCACGAGATGATTTACATCAGTCCTACTCCACTACTCACATTAGCCTTCCGAGCTCGCAATTATCGGTAGACAATTTACGGTATTTACGGATGTATATCTGAGGTTATTTTCGTATGCACTCATTTTGAATTTTATACATAACTAAGAACACATCCTCCAGTCAGTTTCCCCCATGTAAATGTCATCATCATACTAGGAATATTTTCCCATCGTTACCAAACTCCGGGGAACGCTGACCTCAAAGCTTGATGGGTCTCTGAGCAACAACCACGACCTCCCCCAAAGTCGCCCTTCCCAGCTCACTCCTCTACAACACTTCACTTCTCTCCTCACACAGTCACTCTCCCTCCACGGATCCTCGTTGTAGATTCTCCCGGAATATCTCAACCTATTTTTGATTCCTCCAACACCCGTCCACTTATGCCAGGGAGCACCGATTTACGACGAGCGCCACACTTGTACCAAAACTTGTCGAACACATATGATCATCATCATCTGCGTCATCACCTTAATGCATTACCAACAACCCACGACAGTCTACTGCCGATTCCTCCCGCAGTTTTTTTCCTCAGACTTCGCAGGTCCGCAACTGGAAACTATGCGTAGATTTTCTCATCATCATAAAATTTCGCCCTGCATGTAAATCGCCTCAAACAGACATAACAACAACAACAACAACAAAAATAGCATTAACCAGACTACCTTTCTCAGCGGTCATCACTTCTGGGTTGATGATAATCAACTTGAGAATCGGCCAGCTCATAAACTCGGGTATAGTCAGGGTACCAACGGTGATGATAATCGGCAACAACATCAAAATTTGGAAAAGTTCGTGTCGATTTCTGTACACTTCTGTCCGAATTAGCGAAGCAAACTTTTGAGCTCAGCTGAGGGAAGGATTTACTGATCATTAGCGAGTATTTCATCCCAGTGAGGAAACAACTAAACTGCGTGATAAAACGGTGGAGCACAAAGCTTATATGAGTTATTTGCACGCATGCACATTCCATATTTTTACTAATTTTACCGGAACAATATCAACAAATCTACACTACTTATCATCAATCAAATCATCACTGCAATTATCAGTCACAACAGGCGCAAGTAAAAGCATTGCATCGTTCAGCATTGTCATTAATTGGATTTGCACGCATGCGCAAATCCGCTCACGTACACCTGTGAGTCTGTCTATGTTTCCACTTGTGATGGGGGGGGGGATATGCACATGCTCAACCACATGTGTTAGTAACAATATTACGCAGAGATTCCGAGTGACATCACTTCGAACACCACATGAATTTTAGTTGCAGAAGCATGCCACAGGATCATCCTGAGAATGTGAGATACTGAAGCTCAAAATACTCCGGGATACTTCGTAGGATTATCCAACCTACGAAGATCTAGCTGGTGACTGGTGTGGTGAGACTCCTCTCGGCTTCATTAAAGTCACTCTCGAGGTCTCGGGTACGGTTACTCTATTCGTTGATGGTAAGACGTACACTGCCGAATACTATTTGGACGGCTATGAAATCGTGTTCACTAATCCGGACGAGGCTTTAGCAGCGTTGCTTGACGAGTTGGATTCGAGCTTGTATGCTCTCTACACCGAAGAAGGTGTTTACGTTGAGCTAGTCAATGTCTTCACCACTACTATCACGATATGCTAGTTGACTCATATTAGAGGATATGGATTGTGGAGTCGCAGGTGGCGGCTTATTCTCAAATGTCATATCTGTTGAAAATCGGTAGTTGATGAGACGTTTGTCTCTGAGATTGGACCGTAGTGATGTGAGAAGTTGATTTTTATTTCATTTGTAGACTTGAAGTTGTGTTGAATACAGTGATATATATTGCTGTAGCTGATCATAGAGTCAGTACAACTTGAATTATTGTTTGTGCTCATGTGGGGCGAATTAGCGCAGAGTATCTGACCGTGTTGAGATGTGCCACATTGGGTTCATTGAAGATTTTTCTGTATCGCAGTTGTTGGCTTTACATATCGTCCTATTGTACCGTTGAGAATGTTCAAGGTGAATCGTATACCTTTTGCATTCACTATTATTTGATAGTACAAGTGATGCCCTCCTTCAGAGGTTCTTCCATCCTCATTCCTTCGGGTGGGGTAGAAATGCCACCTCGTGATATGCCCCAGTATGAAAAATTTCTCCAGTTGGGGCGGCTATGCCACGCCGGGACATGCCTCAGCATGATCGATTTCTCCTGGTGGGGTGGGTATGCCACAACATGATATGTCTCAGTATGATCAATCCCTCACAAAGTCCGCGGCTAGGCCACATCGCGATAAGCCTCAGTACGATCGATTTCTTCTCTGGTGGGGCAGCTATTCCACCACATGATATGCCTCAGTATGATCAATCTCTCTAGGTGGGGCAGCTATGCCATCTTCACATATGTTCTACTACAAGCAGCATCACAAGCATTCGAGACAAGGTCAATTCAGTCCGAGGGAGGTATTGGTTTAAGAGGCTCAAGGCTTTGATCAGCGACATCTTTTCGCTGTGTATAAACACAGGGTTAGTCCTGGTATATCTGCCCCTAAAGGGAATCGGTCCCGAGAATATCAGAATCGATCAAGTGCAACCCAGTGTGATCAGAGTTTTTCACGTCATCCTGATGAAATCGTTCTTACTGCCACGTACGCCTGCGGAGTTTTATTGTACTAAACCTTATCTTGAGGTGGCATAGCTGTCCCTTTTGAAGGAATTCATTACACCGAGGGCGACATAGACCTAGAAAAGTTCTAACATTGCGTAGCCCCATTTGCCGATTGTCGGGAGAGGTGGAGCTCTACCTGACCACCGTTGCACACATTTATCAGAAGTCCAGTTGAATCATCAGAGCACTGCAGGTGTATTGCATGTACCTGCGAGAGAGTCGGATAGTAAAGTCTTCGGATAGTTCTGTTGAGGTATATTGTTCCGCCATGGTGCTGCCGCGATTTACCAACGTGTTTTTTGAGTAGAAGAGGCTCAGATCGAGGAGCTGATTCGACTGTAATAGACTATTACTATTAGTCGCCACGAGTCTTTCTTTGTGTCTATGTGTATTTTTCGCTTCGGCATCATGTGATCGTAATGCTATGGTATGGTCAGGCGCATCATTGATATTAGTTCAAAGAGGATTGTTTCGTTCTCTCCCATAATATGGGACCCATATCGTATGCTTTCAATCGTCAATCTGGGTTTACCTTTATCAGTCAATTAACCAGTTTAGTGACACAGTATCTTGGATAATCATCGGGTAGCTGTGGCATAGTTGCCCCTAATGGAGAGTTTGATCTTGCCGGAGTGGCATGACTGCCCCGTCGATTGCGAGCTTCAACTATGGCAAATCTCGGGTAGCATAGCCTCCCCGCCTTGAGATATTAATTTCACTAAGGCACATCTTTTTGCTGGCATAGCTGCCCCGCCCTGAGAGATTGATCTCATCAAGGTAAATCTCGAGTTGCCTAATTGCTCCGCCTTGTGAGATTGATCTCAGTAAGGCAAATCTTGGGCGGCATAGTTGCCCCACCTTGGAAGATTGATCTCAGTGAAGCAAATCTTGGGCGGCATAGCTGCCCCATTTTTGTGCAGGTTTGCCGAAGTTTTCTCAAAGCATCTCTGGTTGAGTTATTGACACGCAGACATACTGACCGAATCACGTCCATACACGTCCATTGTGAGTGTCTCAATACATGCCCTCTGATCAATGAATCGGTCAAACATGCAGGTTAATGCATGACTGATGTATGAGTGTTCACTGATAGAGCAGCGCAGTACGTGTATCGGCATTGTGAAGGTTTACTCTGCTATATATCTTATGTGGAGAAGAGACGCAATAACGCTCATCATTTAGCATAGCAGATTTGTCGCATTAGATTTTCGAAAAGGCAATTTGGGATTACAATATTATCTTACATCATTCCCTTAGACATCAGTTGCCATGAAGTGTCACACCATACTCTGCAATTTGTACAACTTGTCGCATCATTGGTGTGATTTGTGTTGCTCAAGATATGCAAGCGTGCTGCAAAAGTGTACCCTACTAAGTTGCTCCGAGCAACTTGCTCGATACCAATGAATTCTCGTTAATCTTCATTGATGGTTTGTGCTGCTCAGAGCATCCTCGTGCATTCAGTTGCTCGTGTTCCTTCCTTTCTTAAATGCGCGCTGTTATTCTCGCTGCCATCGCTGGAGGCGTTGTAGGTTTCTCTAAATTAAAGACTCTAATACGGTTTCGGAGGATACTTTGCCGACTGGGAACTACTGCGAGGAGATGTGCACTCAGACTGCTGGTTGTGATCAGTCATACTGCAAGGACAATGGTTTATGCTTCGGTCTCTTCCACAAGGGAGAGTCCAAATGTTATCAACCCGGTGGTGAAGCGACCGATTGCGACGACTCTGCACTAGAGCCGGTCCAGTGTGCTGAATATCCTGTTACTACTTGCGATGATGTTTGTAGTAGCATCGAAGGATGCAAGGAGTCGAAGTGGGGTACTTATTGCAAGACTTGGCAAGATCCCCCAGTCTGTTTCGGTATCATCGTCAAGGAGGATGGTAGCCTCTGCTTCAACCCCATTGATGAGGAGTGTGTTGGGGAGCCTTATCCGTGTGAGATTGCTCCCATTGATACCACTGTTATCCCTGAGACTACGGTTGAGACTACTGATGTTCCTGAGACTACGGTTGAGCCCACTGATGTCCCTGAGACCACCGTTGAGCCTACTGATGTCCCTGAGACTACCGCTGAGCCCGTGGACTATCCAACCAACGAAGATCTAGCTGGAGACTGGTGTGGTGAGACTCCTCTCGGCCCCATTAAGGTCACCCCCGAGGTTTCGGGTGCGGTTACTCTATTCGTTGGTGGTCAGACGTTCACTGCCGAATACTATTTGGACGGCTATGAAATTGTGTTTACTAATCCGGATGAGGCTTTAGCAGCGTTGCTTGATGAGTTGGATTCGAGCTTATACGCTCTTTACACCGAGGAAGGTGTCTACGTTGAGCTAGTCAATGTCTTCACCACTACTATCACCAGATGCTAGTTGCCTCATATTAGAAGATATGGATTGTGGGGTCGCAGGCCTCGACTTATTCTTGGATGTCATATCTATTAAAACTCTGTGATTGATGAGACTTTTGTCTCTGAGGTCAGACCGCAGTGATGTGAAAGTTGACTTTTTATTTCATCTGGAAACTTTGAGTCGTGTTGATCACAGTGATATATAGTGCTTAGCTCTTCATAGTGTCACTAGAACGCGAGTTTTCGGTTGTAAACATCTGAGGCTGACCAGGACCGGGTATCTGATCATGTTGAAGTGTGGCAACCTGGGGTCATTGAATATTTGTCTGTATGACAGTCGTTGCCATTACATATTATCCTATTGTACCGTCGAAAATGCCGAAGGTAAATTTAATGCCTTTTGATTTCTGTTTCTACTCTTATTTAATAGTAGAAGTGATACACTTCTTCAGAGGTTCTTCCATCTTCATTCCTTACGGTGGGGCAGCAATGGCACCTCATGATATGCCTCAGTATGGAGAATTTCCCTGGTTGGGGCAGCTATGCCACGGCCCCATAATTATGCCATAATTATGCGCGCACGTACGCCCAACTCGGAAATACCTGTTGTTGCGGAATGCGGTCCGCTCTTTACGATCAAAGGTCTAACTGTTTATCTCGTACGTAGAGATGAGCAGTCTGCCTTTCCTGATTAAAAGAGTGACAAAACGCTCTCTTTTAGAAAATGTGTTCTTCTCATGAAAGATGGTCACTACATGGTTTCATATACACTGTCATCATACACAACAGCAGAAGTGAATTTGGTCACTGCTTTAGTTCCCTCGCTAACGGCGTGCTTAGCGAGGTCACTTGGAAGAACCAGGCGAATCGCAGTCTGAAGCTCGCGGCTAGACAGAATTCCCTTATTGCTATACTTGCAAAGTCGCCCAGCCTCAGAGACTATTCGGTTGAAGGTGTCGCTCACCAAGGAGTTCATGATCATCATGCTCTTCTTGGAGATACCAGTCTCAGGATGCACTTGCTTCAACACCTTGTAAATATAGCTGTTGAAAGTCTCCTTCTTCGCTCCTTCCTTGGGGAGAAGTGTAGTGTGGATGTTGGGCAAAACATCACCGCAACAACCAGCGAGGAATTTGCTATGTTCCTCATCGTTGCGGACCGCCAGACGGATGTGCCGAGGTATTATACGAGTTTTCTTGTGGTCTCGCGCAACGTAACCAGCGAGCTCAAGAATCTCAGCGACGAGATATTCTAGAACAGCGGTCAAATAGACTGGCGCTCCACAACCGACGCGCTTAGCATAACGACCCTTCTTTAGATTCCTTGCGATACGCCCAACAGGGAACTGTAGACCAGCCTTGGCGGAGCGAGACTTTGCTCCACTGCCACTCTTCTTGCCACCCTTTCCGGACATGGTTTTACTATCAAGGAAGATGGTCAAAGCTATGCTCCGCTACGTAATGTCATATCGTACGGAATCTGAAATCTCGGATCAGGGAAATTTGTAGATCGCGAAACCGGAAGTTACCGCATATATTTAAAGAACACAACACCTTATACATGCTTCTATTACAACTACATGTCGGTAATAAATTGTGATTGTAATCCATGAAACGCTTAGCCGGTTATGCAAACCAGCACTCAATAAAGCCTCACAAGTGCTACGTCAATCACCACCTCCTCCCTACTGCACTGCGGACCGATATAGACGCGGCTATAGGAGTGGTCAGCAAACCTCCAGGAGCTTTGGACGCTCCTACGATGCACTTTCTTAACATGGGGATTAACCAATCGAAGCCTATAAAAATCACACGATCACTCCTAATCTCCTCAGCGGAGTTTACATTTTCAGACATTTTACTGCTATCTGAAAAAGAGGGATATTATTCCCTATTTCCTTATACCGGATAGAAAATATACCAAAAATAAAAAACTATTACTTATTATATCCCCAACCATACATTTCCGAATCCTCCTCTTCCTAACATAGCAGAAAATGTACGGTACGGCTAATTCAGAACAGATCATTTCATTACTTCTATGAATAGTATAACAATAGTTAAGTACCCAGCAAGCTGGGGTCTCAAGAGTTAACGTTATGGCGCCTCGATGATTACATTATCTTTTCAAGAATCTCATATTCGTACTGGATAGAAATTTCTTGAGAGTCTTCCGTAAATGATGAAACCGACATATATGCACAGCAGCATAATTATTATCCCCAAATGATCCTTACTAATGATATTTAGTACTACACCTTGATATTTGCCGAAGCAATCTCTTCTTCTGATACTGCTGATAAAGGTGGGGAAAACACAACCGATAATGATGCTGAGGATATCATGTGTTTCTTGATGGTATTATAAACACGATACATGTATTTATGGATGAATATGCTCACCTTCAGGAGAATCAGTTCGAATTATTCCCGATGTGGATCCCACCGTATTAGGCCTTCCTAGGTATTATCCTAGAGCTCCGACCCTTGAGAAGTATTATCATCATCTGCATCACCGACATTATATTCATCTCATTATCACAAACTCTCAATATGGAAGAAAATATTCTTCGCTTCTGAGCAAACGTGACCGACACGATGATGATCGTAAGCTACTCTGAGAGCCTCATAGAAACATCAACAGCAGCTAGAGGCTGTTGAAAAATGAATAACTACTATACCATAGCAATCTGAATTAGGATATAACAAAAACCCTCCTCATCCCTCTGTTATATATCTTCTCCCAATCAACGACACCACCGAAAAAAAATCCCAATCCGTTGTGAATCTCCTCAATTACTCGTCCGAATCAAAGTCAACACTACAAATTATTACTCCCCTTCAAATCGAACTCAGTATTTTCCCTACTTGCCGATACCAACACTCTGGTAGAGTTAATTTTATTAATCGCATTTTTAATAGAAGCCCACACGGGCCTATTCCGTGCCTTACCATCATCAACATCCCATTCGAACCCGGGGCATTCCCTTTGCTACTCGAACGCCAGATAGAGGAGCATCCTGCCCAACCACGACTCGAGTATAAACTCCAATTTACGGCATTCGGCAGAAGTCGAACGGGAAGCGCCTCCATCTGAAATGACCGGGAATCTTTAGGTTGAGCACATAAGATACGAAACAGGTTATTGACACTAGCATCTTCATTCAATCGTGTCGGTGATAAAATCAACATCACGACAAGCCGCATGGCAAATTCGCTACCGATTCTGATCTCATCTTCAACTCCTCATATCGCCAGTATCGGGGAGAATATGCACATGTGACATTTGATGGAATTCTGGGAGGGGAATCTTATTGGTCTTCTACTCGAATATGTAAACTTATATAATCAGTGAGGAAGGCGACCATATATTATTTCAACACTAGATAGGCCTCAAACGGACCTGGAAAATATCTTTCTTAATTCGCCACCGTCCAAAGCACCACAATAATCGACACGAGTATCTTAGGTTCCCCATGACAAGATACAAAACAGGTCCAAACATTTACACTCTATACCTCCTGAGCAGTGGCCAACGACCACACCTCAGCCCCTCTCCCAATAGATGCCGAATCCAACAGCCACCCTTAAAGCGGCGCACCATACGCACCATGAGAAGTGAGAACTAATTTCAATCGAACTGTACGTTATGACTTTCTGGACTTATGGAGTCTATAATATGGACTATGCGTGCAACTTTATGGGACATATCAGAAGTGAAGGCTGTCAGGACTGCCTCGCCTCACTTGTCCGTGCTATCATGCTGCGTAACAGCTGACGACCTAATACGAGACATCTGTCTCTAGGTACTGATGTTACTATAATACTTAACAATATCGAGGCGACTATCATGTTGCATAGCAGCTGACAGCTTCATACGAGTCGTCTATCCCTAGGTACTGATGTTACTATAATACTTAACAATATCGAGGCCACTATCATGTTGCATAACAGCTGGCAACCTCATACGAGTCGTCTATCCCTAGGTACTGATGTTACTATAATACTTAACAATATCGAGGCCACTATCATGCTGGGTAACAGCTGACAACCTCATCTTGGCTCGACAGAAATGTTTTTATGTAGTGTTGTTCGGCCCCCCGCCAATGAGCTCCTAAAACGACTCGATTATGATTTTCAATCAATGTTTCTTTGCAAGTGAAGGCAACATCTAGAGCTTCTCCCAGGTGCGTCCCAAATCGCCTAGAACGTGTCACTCAGGCAATTCCACATTAGTCGATAGTCACGGTCCCGACCACATCAAATATACTCGTACCATAACATTTGCAAACATGGATCAATCCGCCCAATATCCTTAACACCATCACCCCTAATATGTTGGGAATATCCAATGTAGCACCAGACACGGTTACCAGGTTGGGTGCACTTCACCAAACTTTGAAACCTTGCAGCACAAAAAATTCAAAGTTCACGTGTGCTTATCTGGGCGGGCGCTAAGTTTAATGGCGTGTGACTTTGCGAGTCGGTGCGCAATTGTCCAAGGTGAGGTCCGCCAGCGAAGTTATAACGATCTGCACGCCTACTATTATTACACGTTGTGATAAACAGACCTCTCATGCGCCGTAAACTTGATCCTGAAAGCTCTGAGGAGAAGTAGTCTATTGAATCCCTCGACAATTATTTTGACTTGCAAACCCTCTTCTGGTTGGGAATGTTGCTATTGGTATCAACTCTCTTTAATAGGGCATCGTACGGCACTAGGAGTGATAGATTTAGACGAGCTGAGGCAGTGATGGTATTCGAAATGATGCCGCAAGCGGCTTGCGGCAAGCCTACGAGCTTTGGTTCAGCCCGTTGTATGGTTCACTGACACCATCCAACGGGCTCAGCTTGGAAATAATGGAGTTTCAATCGGTTCACGTGGAGTAGCGTAATGTCCCATGTGAAGAACCGTTCTTCGAGAACGCGATATGGAGTGAATTGGAAACACTTCACGAATCACACCCGACAAATTACCCAATATCACGCGAGACACATCACGGGTTCTACACGTTATACATACTGGGTATCTAGCATCTCTTGCTGATCACCTATGGTCACTGACCATTAATCAGCAACTGAGCTTAGTGTAGCTCTAGCATAACTCATCATTCGAGCAAGGTAGGATTAGGGATATTGACGTTGCGGACACGTATGCCGCATCGTATGCTATCAGTGATAGCCTATCACCCCAGTCAATTGTAAGTTACGAATTGTAGTGTTCACATCATCGGGACTAATATTGTGGGTCCAAACGTAAAAGTACCCGTGCTCATCATTGGTGCACGCAAGTACACTGAACAAGATTGTATCGCACAAGAAGGGCCCTTGACTTGATGAAAGTTGATAGGCTTCCTATGAGGAGTATTGATCTCCGTGTGAGTGGAGACTGCGTATCGCAGGTCTGGGGTGACCCCAGATGCGACCCTCCGTTGCGTTAGAGACGGCCAGTGCGGCTATGCTGAAACTCCACCCTTGTAGTCGTCCCTTCTCAGTTCTGACTCCGGAACGCCAGAAAAAAAAGGATAAGTACGGATGGGCGCGAATGTG